AACAATACAACACAGGGCACATTTTAAAGATTATTTTATAGTGGATCACCCAAAGAATCATATACAAAGAGTGCAGGAACTCTTTCCACACACTAAAGACCGAAGAACTCAGCTGAGGGGCAGATCCCACAGTAATGTTCTGCAAGAGTCCAGGTGAAGAACAGACTTGGAGCAATGCCCCACCAAGTCCACCTGGAGGCCAAGAGCCCAGATAATGTCTCAGGCAGGCATGTTTCACAGACTTGCGCTGCATGAGCCCAAAGGTCAGCAGTGGAAACTACAAAGTCTGTGCCAATGGGATGGAGGATCTATGCTGGCAGGCTGAGGGATCTGAATTGGAGCCAGGAAGCAACACTCAAGGTAAGAACCAGAGCACACGGAAAAGGACCACAGCCACCCTCACGACAGTGAGGTCCCAAGCTCCTCCAGTGATCATGAAGCTGTGGTCCCATCAGGAAAGCCAATGCAACAAGTTTCTCCAAAAGACTGAGTAGTGCACCATCTTCCCCTCCTGAGACAGGAAGTAATACTCAAATGAGGACCAGGGCTCCCTCAAAGTGAACTACAGCCATTCTCAGCGACAACAAGGTCCTAAGCTCCTCCTCTGATGAGAACAGCCAAGTTCATCAGGAAAGCCAGCATGACAAGGTTCTCCAGCAGAATAGCCCAGGAGAACCAGAAACCCCCAAACAGCTTCCCAACAGCTTCCTCTAGCTCCCAAGAGCCTCTAGACTTCTCCTTCTCCAGCTCTGCCTCACACTGCCAGCAGCACCCCTCAGGTGCGCCTCCCACACCCAGCACCATGCTGGTTCAGTTCAGCTGGGTGTTACAAGTACACTGCCCACTGTTAATCTACCTCATCTCCTTTTTGTTCATTTTTACACAATTTATTGGCATCTGTTGTGGTTTTTCTCTTTCCAGAATGGCTTTAAACTAGTTTCTGCACTTTGGGAATATTGATATTGGGGCTGGATGAATTTTAGATGGCAAGGAGGTGGAAGCTTTGATGGCGGGGAGAGAGACTGTCTTGTGTATTGCACAGTGTCTGGCAGCATTCCTGGCCTCTGCTTCCTGCTATTAGTGCACACACACACACACACACACACACACACACACACACTCTATGACAACCAAAAGTGTCCTCCCAGGTATAATCACCTGGGCTCAGTATACCTGCATTAAACTTTTCCAGGAAAGCAACTGTCTTTTCTTCATGTCTGATTTCCTGGTGTCCAGGCCGTGCCTGGCACGTGAAGAGTTTAACTAGGAGGGAGGAGGGAAGGTCTTATGTAAGAGAAGCCACTGCTTCAGATTTGAAGCATGATCTTGTCAGTACTCTTAGGAGCTTTCTGTGATGACAGTACTAGGTCCGTAGCTTCTGAGATGGAACCTCCACTGCTTGCAGATTTTGGACACTTGGAAAAGTGACCAAGAAACTAAATATTTATTTCACTTAGTTCTGCCTTAAATTTACATCGAAGACCACATGTGGGTGGAGGATGCTATATAAAATAGCACTGTTCTAAGCAACAAATAGCATGGACCCAAATACTACTCACTAAATATAGGTTAGGGGTTTGATAGTGTCCTAGGTAAATCTAAGACATATTTATACTTCTGGTTTCTCTGGCAATTATCTAAACCTAAAACAACGTTTTGGAGATAAACTGAATGATACTATGTCTCACTCTGTACAGACGGTAACAGAGGCTGATCTTATTATAAACATCAAGAGGCACATTATTTATTTTTCCTAAAGGGAAAAAGATTCATTCACTCACAGTTTGTAGAGATTTCAGTCCCTAACCTACTGGCCACAAGTCAGGGTGGCCTGGCAGAGGGGATCATAGAATAGAACCAGTTCATGACAAGCAGAAGACAGCAAAAGCAAGCGAGCAAGGGTGTATCATTGTCATGGGGGATGAAGATAGATGATGGTGGCATTCTCAGAACTTACTCAAAAGCGGCTCACTTGCATGCCTGTCCCACCCTGAGCCCACTCATGTAGCTTGTCTGGAGAGCTGGCCATATGCCATTTGTCCTTGAGATCACCGTGCAGCTGGTGAGGCAGATGTGTAGCTGCAGTATGAGGAGCAGAGTGGTGGCATCCACGCGGGGCCCAGCGAAGATGCCAGCGGAAAAGTTAGGGCGTCGGACATGGGCAGTGGAAGCCTCACAGTCGAGCTGATACTGCGCCCATCTTGCAGTTTGAGTTAGAGCTAGTGGAGCTGCCTTCCTACATTTTTCCAAAACCCACCCAAAAGTTCACCTGGAGGCTTGTTAAAAAGAAAACTTCTGGGCTGGAGAGATAGCTCAGTGGTCTGAGCACCTACCTGCTCCCAAGTGCAAAGACCTGGGTTCAATCCTGTGTACCAAAACCGGGCATGGAGGCTGAGACAGGAGGATCACTACGATCCAAGTTGCATAGTGAGACCCTACACCAAATAAATGATTTAAAAAAAAAAAAAAGAAAACTTCCCTAAAAATTCCTAAAACAGAGCTTGAAGTTTTGCACCTGTGGCGAGCACTCTAGGCAAATAATAGGCAGTGGCTACTGAGAATGGTCCAGTAATTCACACGTGCTGTCCCGAACATGCTGAAGGTCTTGATTATTTCTGACAGCTGAAATGTATCAGTGTATCATGCTTGCCATATATTAAATGGAAGGAGTTTGAAAAATATACATTTTTTCTGATATCTAAAACCTTCTTCTCTTACAGCATGGGTAACAGTCCCAGGGAAGACAAAGTGCTACACAGAAAAGCTAACTATGCTGAAACCTGAGTTCCAGTGAAATTTCCCAACCCACCTGCACTCTACCTGTTACTTGAAGTTGTTTCCTTTTCCTTTGTGCCCCGCAGCCTCAGCTTGCAGGACAGTCCTTGTGTGCCCCCTGGTGGTCCAAGATGGTAAGTGACCTTGGACAGTAGGTAAGAGGGGACTACAAATACCTCTGCACTGCGTAATCAAAACACTACATATCGATTTATACAAATACACTGATTAGGTAATGGGGCATTATGTTCCCCCTTATACTCTGAAGGAAAGTAAATACGGAAGACCCTTTCCCCATGAGTACAGTCTTGTGCTTCCAAAGCTGTATAATGCCAACTTCATCATTACAGCACCCCTTTATCAAGTAACACTGGGGGAAGCCAGGTGTGGTGAAGCCTGTAAGCCCAGCACTCCAGGAGGCTGAGGCTGGAGGTCAGTAAACCTAGCCTGGCCAATTTAAACACCTTGTCTGCTGGGGATAAAATTTACTGCAAAGGCCCACAAAAAATAAATAAATAACTCTGGAAGAAAAAGTTTAAATCTTAGAGTATCTTTTATTAATCCTGTGGAGCCTTGTGGTTCATCTCACAGGCTTTGCTGTCACATAAACGGGTAGGTAAATTCTAACTCTGCAAGGTGCTAGTCTCAGAAATTAGTGACTTGCCTGAAATCTACTCCTTACTGGTTTTCTCTCTGAAATGGTCATTATTGCCTAATTCATACAGATGCTGTGGATATTAAATATGTATATATAAAGTGTTTGGCACCGTGCCTGGAACCTATTATCCCTCTTTCTGCCCATAATGTTCGCCGTTACTATCACTGGAAGGACCCACATTATGTGCATTTCTACCAGGTCTGGACAAGAACTTCAGTGCAGTCTGCACGCTGTCCCTCTTGCCATCCCCACTGTCTCTCACAGCAGCCTTCTGTTTTAATGTTCCACAGACAGAATCTGGAACTCCTATCTTTCCTTCAGCAAAATGCCTTTTGATGTACCCATACTGTCAATCCTGGGGAACTCCATGGAGAAAGGGTAAGAAGGGAAACAAAAGCCAGCAAAGGAGAAATAGCAATCAAGGCAGGAAAGCAAAAGTGGGGGAGGGTGTTATCCACCAAGAGGAGAGCGTCTCAAGTGGAAGCGAAGACTGGACGGCCCATGCTGTGACAGGCAGGATCGTGACTGCAAAGTGACTAGCACACAGTGGCGTGGAGGTCACTGGCGGCCCTGCCTGCAACAACTGGGATGCAACTGTGGAGGGAAGTTCTAACTGGAGTAAGACACTGGAGGCATCAGGCACAGGCTGTTCTGAGACAGCTTTGTGTAAAGAAGAGCGATGAACCCAGGTGGCAAGAGGAGAGGAAAGTGGTTTCCTTTTGTAGTGACAGAAGTGGCCACATATCCGCAACGCCAGTGAAAGGCAGCTATGCTAACCCTATACCACCAGCGCCTCGGTTGCAGTGCCAGTGGGCAGCACTAAGGAGGGAGAAAGTGAGAATGCAAGGAAGTGCAGGAAAGACCCCCAGAGCAGCCGCCTCCAGGCACAGGGGTGAGACCTCCAGCAGCTCAGACAGGCGCAGGCGCAATGACAAGGGCAAGGCTGAGCCTACAGATGCCCTCCGGTGGGACCCACAAAGTTCTCCCAGCGGACAAGGTCCTGGCTGCTGTTAAATGAGGTAAGATCCCAATGCCAGAACTGGTAAGCTCAATTTCAGAAATCTAACTCAAAGACTGATGGCACTGCGGTCTGGTTAAGTAATGAGACTCATGTAATGCCATGAAATCCAAGTAACAACGCATGCTCGATCTAGGCACAGTGATGTACGCTTGCAACACCAGCACTCCGGGGGGCTGAGGCAGGCGCATCCCAAGTTCAAATCAACCTGGACAGTTTAATTTAGTGAGACTGTCTCCAAAAAATGGAGGAGGCTGGAGACAGTTCAGTGTGAAGGCACTGTGTTCAGTCTGATAGAAAAAGTAACACACAACACATTTTTGATGCTCTAATTTTTTTATTTATTTCCAACACTTATTTAAAGCACTCTACAGAATACTCTGTAACACTTAAGAAAACCTCTACAAAACTTCTGTAGGGGGCTAGACTCTATCTACCATCAGCACATCACACCAACGCTTTTCTTAGAAGACATTTAACCTTGTGAGGTTCTTCTAGGTGATAGTATATTTTAATACTATATACTACAATTAGAATTTACACCAAGCATGTAACTTTTTAAAAGATAAAATAACATACCTTTGAGCTATCTCAGATTAAAGATACATTCAGGCTTGTATTTATATTTATTTTCCTTGAAATTAACCCTAAACTCAATCTCCTTTCCCAGTCTCAGCCTCAATCTTCTGGCAGATTTGTACAGTCTGTAGCAACTACTAGGCTTCTCCTCCTCCTGATGCCGACGACCCAAGTCATCACAGGTAGAAGAGGCAATCGGCTAATTCCAAATTTGGCTCCTTGTGAATGCTCTGTGCTACCAGGTAAGTCAGCTTGTGTGCATACTGACATGGTGCTGGGACACTGATTAAGCCCTGTGAAAGACAAGCCATGCTAATAATTAAGAGGACAACTTTCTCAAAATCATCCTTTCTTCATCAACTTTTTCATCTATTTGTTATATAAAACGGGTTGGACGAATGTGTTGATAGGTAAATAATAAACTTAAAAGGTAACTGGTTGTTGGAAACTTAAGCTCACCGCCAAGAGGGGTGAAGCACCAGCTTGGGAGCTGAGGGCATCTCACTTGGCCTCCTCTTGGCTTCCTATGACCTCGTGCCCTTGAAGCTGGCCTTCACGGACTCTGGGCGCAGACATTAGCCCCATCACAAAGCACATGACAATGTGCCTGGAAACACCATGCCATCAGGCGCACCGTATCACCTTTAACTGCCTCATCTGCACCGTGGATTAGCAACGTCCTGATTTCCTCCCCAGCCCGCGTAAGATAATACATCCAATGAAACCCTACAAACAATGGACACTGACCCGCTGTCATGACGATCACTATTTGTTTCTAGGATAGTCTGGGTTTCTCCCACTGTGGACTTAAAGAACCATGCTTTTAAGTCCTAAGGAGAAATATCATTTCTTAGGAAAAGTTAGCAAGAGTCACAGCTGATCTGAGGGACAATTTCTGAGTAAGAATCTCTTCTTTCCCAGTACTGAGATTAACAGCAGGACCTTCACAGTACCCTGCATCCCCAACTCTATTTATTTATTTATTGAGACAGTAAGTTGCCCAGTGTGGGTTCAAGCTTGCAATCTTCCTGACTCCTCTTGTGTATCACATTTACATTACTAACCTCTTTCCCTCACCTGCCAGTTGTAGTACAGATGGCACAGTTTGAATGTCAGTCGCTGCATGTGGTCAGGCTTCAGCCCATTGTCATCATAGATGACGTTATAGTGGGTGGGACTAACAGTTCCCCGACAGGCAGCCTGGGTGATCAAGTAAAAGTCGTACCTGAGGGGAAAAACGGAGTACATGTGGGGCGAAGGCAAGAGAACAAGGCCAAGCTTAAACAACATGCAATGAACGTTCATTAAAAACTGAGTTTCCAGAGACACTTACCATGCAGGACGTGTTGCTTCTGAGTCCACGACGGTGCCAAGCGGGGCATTCTGTACAGTACGGTTCGCTTCCGCGAAGAATCGGAGCATACGCTTTTTCCTGACCACAATCACTGACAATCTGGAGCTTAGAACCAGAGAAAGAGAAGACGGAACTTAAACCAACCCAGTAAGCTTTCTGCTTCCTTCTTGTAATTTGTAAAATGAAACACACACAAATTCATTAGAAAAACATTTAAAATAAAAATAAAAATCACCCAGTATGCCTCCTTCCCTAGAGAGACGAGCGGTTTTTAAATTAGGCGTCGGCCTCATTTCTCAAGAGGGCGCTAGGCCAAGTCATGCGCTTAGTGTACATCACTCAAAGGGGCAGGGGAGGGACTCGCAGAGCAACAAACTTCTGCTGCGATTCAGGGAAAGCGTTCAGGAATTACCCATGGAGACTTTTTCCAATTAGCAAATCATCCTCTCAAACTTACTTCTGATTATCAATGCAAGAGCTACTAGTTCCTATTATGCCTCAAGCCAATTCTTCTTTTCTTAATATACATGTTTAATTTTAATTTAGAAAACTGCTGAAGGGTTTCTCAAAATGGTTATGCTGATTTTATTTATTTTTGGTACCAGCAATCAAACTCATGACCTTTTGCTTGCCAGGCAGGCGCTTATGTTGCTGAGCTATAGTCCCAGTCAGGTTATGCTGAATTTATCACGCATTCTAAATTATGAATTTTAATTGAATTGATTCCTATTATGAATTATTGTAAATCTTTTAAAATTTTAACCATTCGAACTTGTGTGATTGTATCTTTTATATTCATTTTCTTCTGTTCTCATTTTTCAGTCCATGTTGGCACTACATAGCGATTATATTCCTGTGGGGAGTTGGTACATGTACATAGCACACTGTAACGCCTTTTCATCCCGTGCCCACCTCCTCCTTCCATCTCTTGGCCCCCTTGCCTTTCTAAAAAGCGAAGTCATCTCTGCTGAGTCCTGGAAAATTCATGCCTCACTGACTGGTTGTACGGGCCAAATGTATGTTCTGGCTAAAGCCAAGACCAAATACAAACTGAAACAACCTTTGGGATGAAATAGTCACTATGAAGTTTACTTTAGTCATGTTAATTGTTTAAAAATTTGTTATGAATGTTTTCAATACTGAAATTTTAAAAATTGACGTTATAGAGCAAGAGGAATAACCGCTTAGCCCCAACTTCTCTGCTCCTGGATTTCTACCTCCTTCCCTGGATGACAGAGTTTCCATTAGTCATTCACCTCACACACATTCACCTGAGGTCAGCAGAGAGGGAGCTATTTTGGCTCTAACAGGACAGATGCAGCTGCAAGTGACACAGCCACCAAGCTACGAGGCTTTGGCTCCTCTCCACCAGTACCCAGTACAGACCAAGATTCAGTTCCTTTCAACTGACGGCTGTGAAGCTCTAACGATGGTGTAATGACAGACCGAGCTCCGTGCGCTCTGTGGCCAGAAGATGCTTTCCACAACTTCACAGCACAGCTTGACGCTATCCTCCTTCATTTTCCACCTCTAGAATTTTTCTTACATTTTGTATTTCACATTATGATTGAAGAAAAAAACGTTAATGCACTAAATTTGGAAGTGCAGCAGTGGAGCAAGGTGCCTCACGCTCAAGACAGTCTGGTTCTACCTGCAGCTCAGCTCTCACGGCCTTGGCTCTGCCTGGGGCCCCGTGAACACCCTACCTGCACGTTCCTGCGCTACTCATGTACTGACCTGGGCCTCACGTCGTCGGACACTGCAGCGTGCCTCGATCCACACGTGACGCTCCTTCATCACGTGCAGCAGCCCTACAGGCTTCTGCTGAGCCTGCAACCCTGCACTGGAAAACACCTGCCCGCCGTCAGGTGACACACTGGGGGCCAGAAGCTTACGCTTTCAGGCTCTTTATGTCAGACCAACCCAACTACTCTCCAAGGAAAATCCAGATGTAGGAAACACAGCAAAAATAACTGGATAACAAAACGGGGCCGGGAGTATAGCTCAGTGGCAGACTGCCTGCCTGGCAAATGCAACGTCCTGAGTTCGACTCCCAGTACAAAAATAAATAAAAACAGCATGAGAATAAAAGTTATTTCATCTATGTACCTTGTGCTGAACAGGTGGAATGGAACATGCTTTTATTGGAAGTGTAGAGGAAGAACAAAGATCATACCTGGTCTTTGAGCCGGATTTGGCCACACTGCTAAGCAGCTGTGGGACTTCATAGTCAATAACTGTTTTTAGTTGACCATCCCCTACTCCATCACGATACACAATAATCCGCGCTGGCAAATCGTGGTTGTGCTTATACCACTCTTTGAGTGCTCCTGTAGAATTTGGTATTAAAAAAAAAAATTAGAGTCCAAAGACAACAAAAATGAATATTCCTATGCACAGTAATACCTCAGTTTTGTAAACAATCTGGTTTACAAACAAAAGCATTCAGCAAAAATTTTGCTTCTATTTATAAACTCCCCATTAGACAACAAGGAAGACTACAGCCAGCTTCCCACACAAAGAGCCATCTTCTCCAAAACTATAAAGCAAAGTTTGCAAATTGAAGTACTCCTGCATCTTAATTTTTACGTAACTTTACTCTTTCAGAACACAGTAAAATAGGTAAGCACCTAATTTGGGATACATATTCAATAATACAAAAAATGGACACTTCAGGGGCATTTCTTCACCTATGCTATTTCAGAAATAATAATGGTTTCCACAGCATAATGTATCCTTAAATTTAACATGTCTCTATGGTCAACTTTTAATGTTTAGGCAACAAATCAAAATTGTATTCATTCAGGAGAGAAATGCCTAAATCAAATTAATAATAATTTATTCTCCTTAAGCCTTCAAATCCACTCAACAGATATCAACTAGGAAAGTTTATATCCTTTTCTTCCTTAATGAGAATGAATATGAAAAGTTTCCAGCTTTTCCCACTCACTCAATGAATTTGATTCTAATTCTCACAGGGAGTATGAATTCTGAAAAAAATTCCACCCACTTTTAACGAGAAATTATCTAAGCATAGAAATCAGGTAGTAATTACCATGCCAAAGAAACTTTTAGGAACAACTGCTAAAGCCAACGTATCAGGTTTTGAAGGGGAAATGATAGGATGTAAGGATTCTTTCCGTATATACCACAGTTTGCTTTTGAGATATGTTGTACAGAAAGTTCATTTTAGTTTGGTAAAATATAAGCATGTACCTAAAACACCATTACCAGAATGAAGCATTAAATTCACTTTTTAAAAAATAAAAATTATAATCCCACAAAGTTTACAGATTGGAAAATGCTGACACAGACAGAACAAAATCTGCATGTGTCCCACTGCTAGGGAACCCAGCAAAGCCGGAGCTGGGCTGGTGCTGGCAGGAAGTGGAAGCCCTGGACCTGTCCTGTTGTGTCTCCTGCGCACAGGGTGCCATTTTTCATCCTTCTCAGCTCTTCCTGCAGGGCCACATGTTGTCTGCCAGAAGCCCCATCTCAGGGCCAACGGCTTACCTTGAGGCTTAAACCAACATCCCCCTCTTATAATCCTAGTTCCTCCAGTTTCTTGTGGCCTTCCACCTCCTTGCCAAGAGCTCCAACAGCCACAATGTCTCCTCCCTTGGCTCTCTATTTATCACACAGACAACTGTAAATGCTACATCGCCCGTCTGTGAGCGTGTGAGAATCAGCATACAGCTTCGCGGGTTTCCAGCTGGGTGACAGCTGGCAGGCTGAGGGAATGTGCATCACCCACCAGGGTCTGCTTCAAGCACGCGGACTCTGGGTCTGAAGGGACAGTGCTTTCAGAGCCCACCCACGCTGCTATGTTTTTAGTACCAGTCATGAAAACTGTTAAGCAGTCTGAGATGTCAGTTGCTGTTCTCTGAAGTCTGCAGCGGGAAAACCACCTAAAATAAGAAATCAAAAATAAAATTCAGGATTTATACTATAGACATGTATTTATGTTAAATTTTAAAATGTGCATTATGGGCTGGGAAGATAGCTTAGCAGTCTTAAGTGCCTGCCTGGCAAGAGCAAGGACCTGGGTTCAATCCCCAGTACCACATGCCATGCCAGCCCAGGGGTAGTGGTGCATGCCTGTAATCCCAGCACTGGGGAGGCTGAGGCAGGAGGATCACTGTGAGTCTGAGCTGCGTAGCAAGACCCTGTGCCAAATAAGTAAGCAAATAAATAAATAAACTTTAACCAAAAAAAGGGGATAGAGATGAATGTCCATTTTGTATCTGTGTATTCAAAGTGGTTAGGATAGATATATAGTTGTATTCTCTTAATGAATAGAGGGATTTGTTCTAATGGTGTTTGTAAATAGGCTATCAAGTCCGCATCTTGTACAGCAATTAACCACTAGGAAGAATGTATGCAATGTGTTAATTATTGAAACTGTCCTACAAATTTGGTGTGAAACTGTCTCATTGCTATTTGTTTCTCAATAAAACTATGGGAAAAAAATAAATAAACTTTTAAAAAAATTAAAACTCTGCCCTTCCCTTTTAGAAATCCCTCCAATAAATGGAATCTCCACTTTTACTTTAAATAAATAATAAATAAATATGCATTAGGAGTAAAGACATCAATTTGTTCTGAAGAATGCTTTATGTGCACATGGAGTCCTACATGTTCTGCTGCTGTCTGATGGACTGTCTGCATACATAAGACATGTGTAACTAAAAGTCAATGTTCATATTCCATATATGTTATACATGTTAGAAACCACTGAAGCTGGAAGTTGGTCCTATGTGTGAGGGCAGGATAAGGCCACAGGGCCTAAAGCAGTGGATCTACCTCAGTCATGAGAAAAGCATCCTGCCCGATCAATGTCAGTTATTAGTCACTAGGCAACCTTGAGTCACATGATACTAACCCTGCAAAGGCCTTACTGTTGCCCTCAGTTATCTGCCAACCCAGCTCTTGCCTTCTTGCCTACCTTTTCCTCATTCCTGCTGCTGTGTCTCCCCAGGGTACTCGAGACACCAATGAGTCCTACAGTTTCTAACACTGTCCTCCTGACCATCCCCAACACACCAAAGCACACATTTTAACAAAGAAGAGTCTTCTCTGGGAGTCCAGAAATCTACTGAAGAAGTTCAGCACACAGCTGTAGTGCATGTCTAAGATCACTCACTGAAGGGTGAGAACAGATTCACATTACCTGTCGTCCCTCACAGTGGCACAGTTCAGTGCCAAGGCAGATTCCTGCTCTGCGACCCCACAGGGGCAGGTGAGAGTGCAGTGTGAACGCTGGATCCCCACTGGCAGGATGCCACCCCAAGACCCACTTCTTTCCTGCCTCACCAAAACGCTGCAGTACGAGGTTGAGAGCACCTGGGAGCAGATGAGAGGCTCTTGTGAGAGGGTCTTATGAGGGGCTTAAAATCACGCTAACTGCTCCTGAGCTCCACTAGAAAGGTCAACCACAGCATGCTTGGAATACCTTCCCTACACCCCAGCACTGACGGCCTCAAAGCTCCTCCAACACTACACGCTTTTCACCAACTGCCAGCCTGACTCTGGAGCATGTCCCCACAGACAGGCATCTGACGGAATTTGGAGAAGACACACAGATGAGCACTTCTGGACACTACACTATGAAAAACAACCAGGAGGTTCTCAGCACTTCACCTGGCATTGTGGGGCTGCAAGAAGGTGGACAACCCAAGTCTAAACATCGAGTTGTTTCCCTTATATGAGAAACTGTAGGCTAAACAAAAAGCAAAAAGGTGGACAGATATTTGGAAGTAGGAAGAATATGTTCAAATGGGAAGATGAACAAGGGAGGGACCAGGAGAAGGAGCCAAGGAAAAGAATGGTAAGGGATTTAAAAAACAAAGAATGGAAGGGAAAAAATGGAAACAAAGCCAGGCGTGGTGGTGCACCACCACACCTGTAATCTCAGCACTTGGGAGGCTGAGGCAGGAGGATTGCTATGAGTACAAGGCCAGCCTGGACTACAGGGTGAGCTCAAAGTCAGCCTGGACTACAGGGCGAGCTCAAAGTCAGCCTGGACTACAGGGCGAGCTCAAAGTCAGCCTGGACTACAGGGCGAGCTCAAAGTCAGCCTGGACTATGGGCGAGCTCAAAGTCAGCCTGGACTACAGGGCGAGCTCAAGGCCAGCCTGGACTACAGGGCGAGCTCAAAGTCAGCCTGGAC